CCCCAAAACCCCAAAACCCCAAAACCCCAAAACCCCTGAAAGCAAAACATTAATTGAACTATGAATTACTCAAATACTTATAATCTTCTACTTCTTCTTTGACTTGGCTTTAGCTTTGCCTTTAGCTTTACCTTTACCTTTGGCCTTGCCTTTGGCTTTATTCTTGATCTCTTCGATGTCATATTCAATTTCTTCTGAGTCTTCGTCATCGCTGATATCTTCTTCCTCATCTCTGTCTGGATCGAACTGATCCATTTCGACATCTTTGCCTTCCTTCTTCTTTTTCTTCGCCTTCAAGGAAGTTTTGTGAGTAGCGTTGTAAGCCCTAGTGAAAGCTGTCTTAGCCTTGGTCGGAATCTTGTCTAACTTAGCCTTACGCTTAGGATCCATGAGGAGAGAAAGCACGTGATCTTTGAACTGATCATTACTGATGTTGAGAGAATCCATCACCTTAATTGCCTCTTCGATATCATCCTTTTCGATATGTTTGTAGATCTCATCGAAAATTAGAGGAAGATATTCTGTGAGCAAGGTCTTTCTATCTCATTGTGCTCTATGCCCCATTGATTTCTTCAGCTCATTGATTAGTCTTCTTGACTTTATAGTTGAGGAATTCTTCCCTAGCCACTGAGGGAACCTTGGATAATGACACTGACCTTCAGAGTAATGACATGGAGCTATTGAGGAGGTGAATCCCAGATCTTGGAGGAGAGTCCATTCCATGTTACCTCTTACTCTCCGATTGACTGTATCACCTAAGGAGATGTAGGATGCAGCATTCGCCATTCTCTTTAAGTCATTAAGTCCTACTTGGAAGCCATGATCAATTGCTCCAAGATAATTTTCATGAACTAGTAGTGGGACAAAATCGTAATCAATGAAGAACATATCCATTCTTTCTTTGAAGCTCATATCATCAAACTCGTTTTTATTCAGCAGTTTATTTGCAGCCTGAAAGTTATTTATCATCAATATCTTATCCTTCGATGTTCTTGATATTCTCTCTTTGATATCTTTAAAAGATAAAGACTTAGTTGTAGTCAGCATAATCTGAAGCTGTGTGATAACTTGTCTGATATCACTTCCAGATTGGTTAATCAGAAGTCCAATTACTTTATCATCAATCTTAAGCCCCTCAGCACTTGCAATTTGCCTGATTCTTCCAATAATTTGAGATTCTTTTGGTCTTGTGAATTTAGCTTCAAAGCAATGGTTTATCAAAGTAGCAAGTTTCCGATTTTCTCTATCATTGCAGATACAAATAATTGGAGTCCTTGTAACCTTAATAACTTTAATAAGCGCTGCTATTCCACCTCTGTCACCTCCTCCACATCCATCGACCTCATCCATGATAATGACACTCTTTTTGCTCAAATTTGCTGTTAATCTTTTACTGTTGTCTCTTCCTTGAATGAAGTAATCCATTGATTTATTGGAACTCAATTCTCCAACCAAGCTTTCGATGGCCTTCTTGTTCCTTGTATCGCTTGCGTTCATCTCAAGGACTTGGAAGCCAAGCTCCTTACTGATGATCCTTGCTGTTGAAGTCTTTCCAACTCCTGGAGGTCCTGAGATAAGAGCTGCTCTAGCATTAAGTCTTGGAGCGTTTGCCCAATAATTTCCTCTGCTCATTGGCACTTTCTTTTTATTTCCTCTGACATGAACATCATCCCATTCTTTTAGCCACTCTGAGAGGGATTTGATCTCTGATTTATTGCCAACAAGATCTTTGGTAGTGATAGGCTTATACTTTTCAGTCAAAAGCATATTTTTAGTCATTGCTGCAGCTGAAGAATCTGGGTTAACTGTTGCTTTATCATCAAGAGTCCCTTCAGCTCTTTTCTTGCAGAACTCAGGATCCGTCCAATCTTCGTAATATTCAAATGTGAAGTGTTTATTACCCAAAACCCTTTTAAGATGGTCCTCTAGCTCAGACTCGGTCATTGTTGAGATCCCCTTTTCCTTCGCTTTTCTGAACTTAGAAGAGGTGTTAACCTCTCTACCATCTTCGAGTTTATATCCTGTAATAAGGTAGGTGGTCTTCCCGCTCACTCCAGATGTAACTCTCCCGCCAAGATCTATGACGAATTTTTCAAGTCTTTCTCTTGAGATATTCTCAAATAGACCTGTAAACACGAAAGTTACTCCTTCCAAAGGAGTCGGATCACTAGGGGTTGGTCTACTAGAAGCTTCTTTGCTTGGAGACTATAATGCTAAGTGAAATCCTACCTTAGTTTCTAGCCTTTTAGTGCTTACTTTCTTTTCATCAAACTTGAGCCGCTTTCCTCTCTTCTTTTCTTCCTCTACAGCAGCTGGCTTTCTCTTTCTTGAGATAGGTTCTTCTACCTTTTCAGTCTGGTCTGAGTCACTGATGACGTTTTCAAGATCGAGAGAATCTATGCAGCGTTTAATATTGTCATTAATAGTATTATTACCAGAGATGCAGTCTTCAAGCTCTTTAGCCTCTTCTGGGTCCTCTCTATAATCTTCATCTGAGTCAACCCTCTTGTTCCTCCTACTTCTTCTTTGAGGGGTTGGCTTCTTGTCTAGCCCCGATTTCTTAGGAGTGGCTTTCTTTGGAGTACTCTTCTTAGGAGTTGCCTTCTTAGGAGTGGCCTTCTTCTTAAGCTTCCCTTCTTTATGGGCGAATTTATCAAAGTAATCAGCAGAGGTCTCACCCTTGTTTGAAGCTATAGAGGAATTATGATATATTCTGATAAGATGATATGACCCAGAAAATTTAGCTTAAAGATCAAAACTTACCTTTGACATTCACTAGGTCTATATCTTCATCCTGTGTGTTTCTTTTCAGTCTCTTCCTTGTTCTAGGACGAGATGCGCTATCTTCCTTGTTTGAAGCTGGGGATTTTGGAGTAAATTCCACTTTAGTTTTTCTTGGGGTACTCTTCTGGCTCTTTTTGCCATCTATACGTTTAAAATAGACTCTACCTTGACTCTTGTTGGATGCTCTAGAGCTCTTTTTATCTCCAGCCTTGCTTCGTGGAGTTGAGCCGGATTCCTTTTTCTCTTCCACCTTCTTTTTCTTTTTGGGGGTTGATGGTTTTACTATGATAGATTTAGACTTCCCTCTGAAGAGACTCATTTTTAACAATATAATCCAACCAGAAAAGAGGCATATTTTGTATGACAGAAAGATGATAAGAAGTATATGTCTTCAGAAAGAGATAGCTTAAGTTTTATATGACCAATCTCGAACAAAAATTAGGCATCATAGATCCTAAACTCAGGATATCAGTAGAAGCCATCATCTTAGTGATTAAAATTTCATATGATAAAGGAATTTGCAATGAAACTTACTTGGAGACTTCAGCTTGGCTTCTTTCTTATCACCCTTATTCGTGCTTGATTTGGTCTTCCCGGCAAAATACTTATTAAGGCCGCCCTTCATTTTTAAGATTTTAAATAATACAATATTTTAGGTTATCAATTATTTGGCAACATTGCGGGGTTTTGGGGTTTTGGGGTTTTGGGGTTTTGGGG